CATGTGTAGGAAGGGAGGGGGGGGGGGAGAAGTAGAGGGATAAACCGTGCACCGCCTCATTAGCTGGGTGTTCAACTATTCCTCTGGTTGGGTGCTTCTCGTAAAATTTTAGTACAACCTATATGATGTTGGTAGGTATTCTATCTGCTACGGAGATTCTCTTCTTAAGTCTGGATCTCCCTCGTGTCCAAGGTTTGATTCACCTACGCCCAAGCAATATGAAGGAACCAGAAGTTTATTAAAACATTTTGGGTTTATCAAGAAAAAAACAAACAACTTAAACAATTGTTTCAAAGTTTCTAATAATTACATAGAAGAGGATAGTGAAAATCTAACGGAAGATGGAAACAAGACAGGCTCTCAGACTCGCAACCGTAAGGTCGGGGGTTCGAATCCCGTCAGGGGCCCGATGTTGTGTCCTTGGGAAAGGCACTTTACACTTATTTTCCTCACTTCACCCAGGTGGGAATGGGTACCCGGCTATAGACAGCGAAAGATCTTGTCAGTTTGTTAGTGTTTGAGCGCTTAATCGGCTGCTCGCACTGTATGCTTCCCGGGAAGCTGAGAATGTTTCGGAGTGTTCTATGGTCTGCTGGGGTAATAATATAGTGTAAAGCGCACAGAGCCTGCTGTTGAGCGGGGATATGCGCTATACAAATGCTATCTATTATTATTATTAACAACTTCCCTGGAACCACAACAACCAGGGCAAGGAGATTGGCAAGAGACCGAGCGTTCTGTTGCAGAAAGGTAAGAGAAGCTAAATCTAACTACTGGAAGAAGAAGAACAAGAATAAATACAAGAACAGAACAAAAATGAGAACGAAAACGAGAACATGGGAAGAAGAAGAAGAAGAAGAGAAAGAAGAAGAGGTAGAAGAAGAAGAGGTAGAAGAAGAAGAAGAAGAAGAAGAAGAAGAAGAAGAAGAAGAAGAAGAAGAAGAAAAAGAACAACAACAACAACAGCAATACCAGCAACAATAACAACAACAACAACATCAAACGCATAAAAAGTGACTGCTCAGAAAAAAAAGAAATAAGAAAAGACTTCAAATCTTAATCTCGTTGTTTTTTGTTTTCGTTTTTTTAACCCAGTCCTGCCAAAATGAATGTTATATATTATATATCGTTCCTCCCATCTGGCATAGTCCTATCGGAAATGGACGTTAATATGGAGGTCAAGCAGTTTACAAAGCCCTGCTGTGTTGAAAGTGGCCCTAAACCTACAACCCCACATATTACCTCATTCCAGATATACGTACAATTAAAATAAAATATGTATCTTCTAGGCCCAACGCTTCTTTTAAAAACCAAAGTAGATCTATTTCTGCGCACATCCAAACAGAAATGTGAATCTGTAAGTTATACAAGAATGGCATCACCGGTTGACTCCCTTCTTCAAATACCTATTTATAGGGAAACGTACCAGCCCACCAAGACAAATATTATTCTAACAATACAGGGTTGAATGATTAGTTGCACATTTTGAGCTTTGAGTTTTTTCCCATAACAGCGCGTTGGTAAATTTGTGGGGAAATCCAGCAAGGTAGTATCCTTCAGATCACTTCCATATACGTCCAACTCAATGGGCTTCTTCCTGAAGCATGGGTCTTCTGGTTGTCACATTCCGAGGCCGTGCACGCGTCTCCCAGGTCACCCGGCTCACTTCACGGTGAGCTCTCAAGTGTCATGAGCGCATCTCAGGTACACGCGAAGGTGCAAGCGGGAAGTTGATCTCTTGTAATAATAGCCTGCTTTTACCTGACACTGGTTGTTATTTCCGACTTGCTTTAGGAGTCGGGGAGAATTCTTTTTTTTATATTTTTTTTTTACTTCGAAGTTAGTTTTAGTAAGAGTTTTGTGGTTTTAGTTTATTTGGAGTATTACGGCCCTAGCAATTATTGTATAAGTTCATATGGGCATTGTAAGAGTTTTACAGCACTTGCAACACAATTAAGTCATATAGTGTCGGGTAAGAGTTGATCCAAAATAAACGTACAATTAAAGTGTAGAAGTTTTACATCCCCCATCGGCACAATTTAGGAGAGGGCGGGTTGCTTTGACAGTTTGACCTTGTCTGTCATAGCCAACCTGGGTTGCGAGGGATTCAATGTACTATAAATAAGAAGATAGAGAGATTCGATAAAAAAAAGTCTTCCCACATGTGAAGGGGACTCATGTCTCTTGCGTGCGAGGGCGAAGCACCCAAACCGAGGATCAAAAAGTACATTTGCGCAAAAATGGACGCTTAACCTTGCAGTTGATGTAATTCAGAGCATGTTTTGTTTATTAGAATTTGCATGTCTTACGAAAAGGAGACACACTAGTTATCATCTATCTTACGTATTCATCTGCCAAATTAACATTTATATTAAAAAGACGAAACGTTTGGCGGAGCTTTAAAATAAAATTTAAAAATAAAAGAAAAATAGAAGCCTACATTGTAGGCTATGGTAGAAAAAAAGCGTTTATCCTTTTGTCTTCCAATAGTCCTTTCTTACATAAAATGTGTTAAGCAAGCAAATTGAAACAATAGAGGATAAGCAAGGAAGTGAAAATTACCAGTGGTTCATTCAAGCACTCATTATGTGTCTGTTATAGGCTGTTGAACGAAGAAGCTCTCTTGTGAGAAACAATTAATAATGGTATTGCATGGCACTGTATTTATAAGAGACCTCATTCCCTAGAATAATCGTAGGCTACTCGTCAGTGTATGTAAGGTTATGCTATAGATGTCCAGGAAACGTTTTGTTTTCTTTCTCAAATTAAGGTCTTCAAGATCAATTTTTACTACTACTCTTTGTATTCAGAATAAGGACAACCTACTCTACACCATACATATATTGCTACCATTTCTGTCGTTTCAATTAGTTGTTGTTTTTTTGTTGTTGTTTTTTCTCTCGTAATCAGCACAACACAGTTTTGGTTATTGTTCATTTCTAACATTGAATAGTTTTATTTGTTTGTGTTTTTTCATGATAGTGCTTTTACATTCCCCATCCACGCATATTGGTCAATTAGGAGGCAGGTTTCAAGCCTGCCTGTCAGGGCCAAACATGGTTAAGAGAGATACAACCTCCTAGCAGAAAGACCCACGTGCTAGCACTCGATAAAAATTCTCCCCACACGGGAATCGAACTCATATTTTCACACCACAGGCGCTGCTACTGAACAGTTGTTGCAATGTGGTTACTATTGTAGGATAGGCTTGCCCTGTCGAGTTGGGAAAG